GCCGCCGCCGCCGCCGTCGCCGGCAGCAGCAGCCGCCCCGCGGGCCAGCACCACCGGCTGCCGGTCTCCGTGACAACGCGACCCCAGGGGGGGGGCCGGACCCGGCGGGGGCAGGAGGCGGAGAGACCGGACCTTTCACGGCAATATCCTCATGGGCCGGCGGCGGGGGGTCTTTATCCCCCTCCCCGGGCGAAGCGGCGCCCTTCTCGGTAGCGGGGCTCAGACGATGCCGGCGGATTTTCTTCACTCAACGAGCAGAGCATCCAACATGGCGCTGTGGCCGCCTCCAGCAGTCCAGCAGGACGGCCGCTCGGAAAACTTCGGGTCTTTTCGGAATAGCTCGGCAAACCGAGGGTGGGAAGCCCCTTCGGCTCTTTTCGGAAACGGCCAGTGTTCGGAATCCTTCGGCAGCTCTCGGGCGTGTCTTCGGCCGCAGTTCGGGAAAGCTCTCGGGCTGACTTGATTCCTCGGGAGAGATCGGCCAAGGGGGCTTCTCAGGCTCGCCGTGGCGGGGATGTGGGGCGGAGGGAAAGACCAAAGGCGAGGTCTGGCCGGCTGGCCCTCCCCTGCGGCCCGGCCTCGAGGCACAATGGCAGCGGCCCTGAGCCTGCGGTCTGCGGAGAGCGGCAAAGCTTGAAACCTCTGTCCTGTGGAAGGAACCGCTGAACGAGAGCGAAACCGAGGGTTAAGAACCGCCCGCCGCGGGGACGCGTTAATACAGCAAATACCACTCGGCAACCCTTAACACATTTCACACCAATTACGTCCAAACGCCCTCCATCGGAGAGGTGAATGGAATGAGTAGCTCCATGTTCCAAAGGAGACCTGGACTGGAAAATGGCTGGGCCAGCGTCACCCAACCGGGAAGGGTCAGATCCAAGCCAGGATCTCATTCCACCTTCATCAGCAAGAACCGTGCCGACTCCCCAGTTGGCTGGGGACGCGATCGGACTGCCCTGCCCTGTCTAATCGGTAGCCTCTACTGAGGCTTCTGTGGGTGGATTCTTCCCAAAGGCCAAGGCCTAGCCTGGAGGGAGCGCCCTTTTGCTGCCAGCCAGCGGGCTGCTCCCAACCTCGTATGCTGGCGTAACACCTGTGGATAAGGTCCTCTCTTCCCCAGCTGGGCCTGCAGAGATCCCTGCCACTCCCACCCTGCTCATCCGAACTCCGGCAGGTGCCTAGTCCAAGCGCACAGCATTAAGGGAGAAGGCGTCTAAGGCAGCACAGAGCAATCCAGGATAGAGTGGCTGGCTACCACACATAACCACCAAGTGACCACCTTCATTAGCTTATGCAGTTCTGTAAAATAAAAACTGAGACCAAGGGAGGCTCAATATCGTCTTCCAACAGAAAAGCTGAACAAAATAAGGCGCGAGATTAAAAGGAAGCCTGGTGTGGTGGTGTACACCTGTAATCCCAGAACCCTGGGAGGCTGAGGCAGGAGGATTCCAAATTCAAATCCTGCCTGCGCAGTTTAGTGACTTAGCAAGACCGTGTCTCAAAATAAAAACAAGTAAACAGACTGAGGAAGGAGGAAGTACTAGGTGAAGGCCTTGGCTTCACACCCCAGTATCGCAAATGGGGCGTGGGGGTTAACGCTAGAAAGGGAGAGGGTTCAACTCACACAGCCTACAGGATAGTCACCTCCCTCCTCCTCCTCCCCTTCCTTCTCTTCCTCTTCTTCATCTCTCTTCCAATAAAAGCTTTGCAGATTGTGGATGCTTAATTCATGACAGCCCCTGAGAGCCTCAGAGACTTCCTCTGGGATAAAAGAGCAGCTGGAAGGGGGTGATACCCGACAGCCTCTGGCTGGCTGGGGCTACGGATCCTGGCATTAAAAAGAAAGCCTGATCTCCAGTCTCCAGACTGGAAGCCACAAACTGAAATCCTAAACTCTTTGGATTTGTGACACCTGCTTACTTAGGTTTGGATTTTTGCTCCTTTCCAGGCTTGATCGAGTCTGGGAAAAATTCCCAAGTGGTCCTTCAGTTCCTCAGATTCTCAGTTATCGTTGGGAGATTTCAGGCTGCTTTATACCAATCAAAACCTGATCCCAGCAAAAGCTTTGACTTCTCCTTTACACGAGGGTGATAACAGACTGATAATTGCTTAATTGTTATTCTTTTCTAAGCTAGTTTCATTGTCTAACTTAATAATAGCTACCAGCACCAGCCAATTAGTGTGTGGCTGGTCTTTGCTAAGCACTTTATGCACATTATCTCTTTTGAAATGGATAGACCTCCAGGCAGAATAAAGTGAAAGACCCTGATGTGATTCTGACCTCAGGCAATCAAGGGAGGAGAGAGCAAAATCAAAAAGGTGCGGCTCTCTCCTTTCATCCAAGAGCAGGACCCTGCTCAGCACTTCCCCACTTTCACAGAGCGGCTGATATTTATTGAGCACCTACTATGTGCCCACATACAACCCTGCTGAACATTTTGCTTAGATTAACACATTCCCTGAACAATTCTGTAAAGGTGAATATTTCATACCTCACTTGCCAGCAAAGAAACTGTGGTGCAGAGATGTGAAAAGACATCTTGTATAACTCCTAAGTGGAAACACTGGGACCCAAACTCAAGGTCTGATTTCCCATTGCTTCCATTACTCCTCACTGTCAAGAAGAAAAGCTGACTTTATCATCTTGTCTGTTGAGAGCACCCCATGGCTTTCCCTTTACCATCAGGATCTCGTCTAGATCCAACATCCTTCAGGGGCTTCACTCCACTTCTAACCTACCACGTTCCACCTCAGATCTGTAACAGTGGCCACCCTGGTCTATTTCCATACACCCACCATCCTAACCCCAGGACCTCTGTGCTGGAAGCTCCTATTACCAACACCCCCAAACGCTTTTCTTTTCTCTCCTTTTAGCCAGTTGGCTGATTCTTGCTTCAAGGCTTGGCTCAAGCATCAGCTCACTCCCCGGGCTGAGCTAGGGTGTCTCTAGGGTGTCTCCCAGCACTTGGAACGCTGAGGCAGGAGGATCACTTGAGCTCAAGCCAACCTGGGCTACATAGTAAAACCTTGTCTCAAAAAACAAAACAAAACCAAGTGAAAGCTTAGCCTCAGTGTTTCCCATCTGTAAAATAGACTTCACCTTTTAGAGAAATAAAACAAATACAAAGCAACCGAGTCCCTGGCACATGTTTTTTCAGTATAAGAGATTGTACCGAGGCCTTCACATGCTAAGAAAGTGCTCTACCACTAAGCTACATCCCCAGCCCTTTTTAAAATTTTATTCTGAAATAAGACTCTCTAAACTGCCAAAGCTGACCTCAAATTTGCAATCCTCCTGCCTCAGTCTCCTGAGTAGCTGAGATTACTGGCATGTGCCATCACAAGAGGTTATAGTAATTCCTTATACATTTTGCCCATTATTATTCATTTATGCAGGGACATTTGTTAGTCATTCAAAATAGCCCTTATATCTAACACTCAATAAACAGAATATGAAATTTGCCAAAGGCCTGAATGAATAGTCATGAATTGCCAGAGGATTTGGATTTACCTGGCAGAGTCTGGAGCAACACAGCGTTGAGGCTGTAATTCTCATGGGATAGGGAAAGGGATGGGCCCAAGTCCTGGAGCAGGCAGTTCTCATCCAGAAAAGGACATGGATCTCTGAATGGCCATCTCCCTTTGCCAGACACAGTGCCTGGCAAAGACCTACATCCCCAAAGAGCCAGAGGGCAGAGGAAGATCCAGCACACGCGTGTCATGGGTGGGGGATCGTATGTTGCGCATCTGTTTAGCTTCTGGGGCCTCTGTGGTGCTTCTCTGAGTGAACTGGGGCTTGTGTTCAGAGGGCCCCTTGATTTCTTAGTTGTGGTCCACGCATGAGACTTGGTTTACAGCAAGTAGCATTCATTGTCAACTGGTGACATTCACTGTCTGGTGACCTGAACTTTTCAGTCCTTACATTAAAGTTCACCCAAAACAAAAACAAGCCAGGCCTCAACAAAGCCCAGCCTGGGCAACTTAGCCAGACCCTGTCTCACAAAATAAAAAGGGTTGGGGATATAGCTCAGTGCTAAAGCATCCCTCAGTTTGATCTCCAGTATTAAAGAAAAAAACCAAAAACTTCCAAACCTATTATGACCAACTGTTCTCTGCTTTTAATTTTTACTTATTTATTTATTCATTCATTTATTTATTTTGGTACCGGGAATTGAACTCATTCTTAGCTAGGCAGGCACTGCACCGCTGAGCTAAATCCCCAGTCCAAATTGGAGTTCTCTGATTCCTTCATTTTTCCTCTTGAAGGAGCTGGCCTTTTAGCATAAAAGCCAGCCTCCTTATGCCAAAAAAAAAAAAAAAAAAGTCGTGTTTATTAGCCACAGAGGGATTTGTATAGCATTGTATGCTTGGCTCTGAGACTTGCAAACAGCCACCAAAACCCAGCCAGGGTAGACGGCAACCTGGACCGCAGTGTTTCAAGATCTAGACCCTGGGCAATGAAGTTATAGTGTAGGGAGTCTAAATCATTTTAAAAAAAAAAGAAGAAGAAGAAGAAGGAGGAGGAGGAGGAGGAGGAGGAGGAGGAGGAGGAGAAGGAGAAGAAGAAGGAGAAGAAGAAGGGGAAGAAGAAGGAGAAGAAGAAAGGACACAGAGTTCCTATCTGAAGTGACCCTGGATGCAAGGAGAGAAGCCC